AATAAAGTACACACTAAACGTAATGTGCTTGAATCATCAAGAAACCATCCCCACCCAGGGAAAAATTGTCTTCCATGAAAACAGTCCATGGTGCCAAAAAGGTTGGAGACTGCTATATAAAATGATCAATCCATCTTCTTCCCTCTGATTCCACTCTCCTATCTCCAGATATCTTCCTATCCTGGGAAATCATTCACCCATATGCCTACTTCTCTAGGAATTTCTAATTCTACTTTCTCATCTGACTTTCTCAATTAATGCAGCTCCTTTCATTTCCTCTTCTCCCACCTTTCTTTAAGCTCTTTCAGCATAACTTTAGTCACCACCAACCAGTGTGACTTCACTTTAGGAGTTAGTCAAAGGCCTCATTACTGAATGCAATAGCCTATTCTCTACTTTTAGCTCACTCAAAAATAAGTTTGTTTAAAGTGGTGCTTTCTAATGGGAGCTCTTATTTTTAACACTTAGGAATGAGAATATTTATGTAAAGCCAGGGAGAGTGTTTTGTTTGAGGTATTCAGAGAATTCTTTACCTTGGGACTTTATGAAAACTTTGTAGAGAATGATTATATTCACATATGGGGGCAGGGGAACAGTAACAAGGGAAGCAAAAAAGATGAATCTTTTAAGACATAGATGGAAAGTAATGAAGAACAAGATTGATAATGCAGAAAAGAAAGTCGACAACGTAAATGTGCTCTTTCAGAGATGCTCTCCCAGAATGCAGGGGGAAATAGAAAAGATAAGAAAGTTGAAGAGTAAGATGATAGCAATGGAGCCTGAAGAATACAAAACAATGGGTGACGGGAACAAAAATTTCAATGGCACAATAGGGGAAACCCTTCAAGCTTTGAATAAGATGTGGATTTAGCATTGGGCTTACTGTCTGTGGTAGTGAGAATAATGCCCCCACAAAAGTGTCCACATCCTAATCCTCAGAACCTGTGAGCATGTTACATTACATGGCAAGGGAATTTTGCAGACATGATTGAATTAAGGGTTTTGAGGAGGAGGAGGATTATCCTGGATTATCTGGGTGGGCCCAGTGTAACCACAAGGGCCCTTATAAGTGAAAGAGGGAGACTAAGAGGCAGAGATCTGAAGATGCTACAGTGCTTCTACATGGAAATGGAAAATGCCATAGAAGAAGGAAAAAGGAAACAATAATCTAAAAAGAATAAATTTACACTAAATAGAATAAAATCAAACATATACCTTGGTGAATGGAAAGAATTCTTATGTCAAAAGCAACTATCAAATTGGAGTATTGAAACAATTTTAAAAACCTTTTAAACAAACTTTTTACAAAAATTTAAGTTAAAAGTAAAGAGATGAGGCATCAAAAAATGAAAAAAAGAATGCAGAATATCTCATTAATAATTTTATATTGAATACATATTGAAAGGATAATATTTTGGATATATCTGGTTAAATAAAATGTATTATTCAATTTCAAAAAAGAAAATATATAAATAAAAAAACTAATTTTAACTGTTTCATTCTGCTCTTTTAAATAGGCCTACTAGAAAAATTTAAATTACATATGGAGTTTGTATTATATTTCTATCGGACAATTCTGTACTAGACCACAAAGAAAACCTATTAAGAACTTTTTGTTGACCTCACAAGAAAAAATATGTCATTATAATCCAAAATAATTAGGAAAAAATGACAGCTACAAAAAATCTTAACTGTGTGGTATATAAGAAACAGCCTTGTAGATAGCCATCAAATCAAAGAGGAAAGAAAAAAATGAAATTTAAGTGATAAAAAAGCAATTAAAAGGACACTGATCTTTACCAAAACCTAAGAGACACAGAAAAACTCTTATTTATAGCCTTCAATGTCTCATTAAGAAAAACCAAATGTAAAGAACTAAAATATTTAATTAAGGAAGTTAGAAAAGCAACTACAAAATAAGCCAAAAGAAACTAGCATGAGATCGTTAATAAGTGGTATAGTTTATGCTCCAAAGAAGATCTTTGGGGCATGTTGCCTTGGGATAGTCCATACACAAAGTGTCCCATTTCCCCATGGTCACTTCTGAGGAAGGTTCACATAAGCATGAGAGCAATGAGCAACTAAGCTAGACAGGCTAAAAATGCAGCTTGCTTTTAATTCTTTGCAGAAGGTCATATGGCCTGAACACATAATTAATAAGCTATAACTATGTGTGAATGAGTTTGGATATGCTTTAGTGTCCTGAAAGTCCCATCTACATGGGTTACATGCAAACAAATACACAGCAGGGACATGGGAGTCAGCTGGCAGTGTCCCATGGGCACAGAGTTTGTCATTGAACTGTCAAATGAAGTCACTGAGGTACCTGAGGCATTTGCTTCTTATATACCAACTGTACTAGAAGTATCAGAATAAAACTGTCAGGGCTTATTAAAAATGAGTTCATTTACTTGTCAGGCAAGGGAACTGACGCCTGTGAAGGTATTCACTGAGTAGTTTGCTGGAATGGCTTACTTCTAAAGAAGTTGGGGGACCAAAGGAGTTTTGAAGTAATAGGAAGGTACAGTTTCATGATGCTTAGGTGTGTTGGAAACCACCACTCCGGATAGGGCAGAATAAGTGTGCTTGGATCTGTACCATTGGCTAAAATAAATTCCATTATTCAGTGGTCACCAAAGAGTCTGGCGTGACAAGGTCACTCAGAGTTGTGAGTCTTTAACAGTTCTAGCTAGTTTTACCAGTTGAAGGCAAACACAACATTCAGTTTTGATATATATGGATTAGTACTGCTATAAATAGAAAATTTCCTTTTCCAGCAGTATAAAGCATTTTATTTAAAGAATTTTCAAAATTGATAATCTTTTAAAATGTCTCAGCCTCCAAGAAAACACACTGCTATGAGCCTGTATGTGGCATTCATCTTTATGGAAGGGTTGAGAAGCTTTCAGAGTGGATGAAAGGACATTTCCTCTGGGCACAGATAACCATTTGAGTCCCCTGCAGTGGATCCCCTCCATGGAATAACAAGCATCTTCCACAGAGCCACAAGGCAGAGAGAGGCACATCCTCTGAGCTCCAAAGAGACTAGAGACCTGTGGCCATCTCAGCAGATCCCAAAATCCAAAAAGCCGACACTTCTCCTGGCTGGAGTTGCTAAACAAACTTTTTAGTTCAGCTTACCTCACGCAATGGAAAGGCCTTTGAAAGAATAGTCCCTTTAAGTATCTATCAAAGCAGAGTCCCCAACCTATGGTGAGTTGTATAATTGTTTCCATTATATATTACAATGTAATAATACGAAAAAAGTGCACACTAAACGTAATGTGCTTGAATCATCAAGAAACCATCCCCACCCCAGGGAAAAATTGTCTTCCATGAAAACAGTCCATGGTGCCAAAAAGGTTGGAGACTGCTATATAAAATGATCAATCCATCTTCTTCCCCTCTGATTCCACTCTCCTATCTCCAGATATCTTCCCTATCCTGGGAAATCATTCACCCCATATGCCTACTTCTCTAGGAATTTCTAATTCTACTTTCCTCATCTGACTTTCTCAATTAATGCAGATCCCTTTCATTTCCTCTTCTCCCACCTTTCTTTAAGCCCTTTCAGCATAACTTTAGTCACCACCAACCCAGTGTGACTTCACTTTAGGAGTTAGTCAAAGGCCTCATTACTGAATGCAATAGCCTATTCTCTACTTTTAGCTCACTCAAAAATAAGTTTGTATAAAGTGGTGCTTTCTAATGGGAGCTCCTTATTTTTAACACTTAGGAATGAGAATATTTATGTAAAGCCAGGGAGAGTGTTTTGTTTGAGGTATTCAGAGGAATTCTTTACCTTGGGACTTTATGAAAACTTTGTAGAGAATGATTATATTCACATATGGGGGCAGGGGAACAGTAACAAGGGAAGCAAAAAGATGAATCTTTTAAGACATAGATGGAAAGTAATGAAGAACAAGATTGATAATGCAGAAAAGAAAGTGACAACGTAAATGTGCTCTTCAGAGATGCTCTCCCAGAATGCAGGGGGAAATAGAAAAGATAAGAAAGTTGAAGAGTAAGATGATAGCAATGGAGCCTGAAGAATACAAAACAATGGGTGACGGGAACAAAAATTTCAATGGCACATAGGGGAAACCCTTCAAGCTTTGAATAAGATGTGGATTTAGCATTGGGCTTACTGTCTGTGGTAGTGAGAATAATGCCCCACAAAGTGTCCCATCCTAATCCTCAGAACCTGTGAGCATGTTACATTACATGACACACTTTTCCAAAGTCAAAACTATTTCCATAATAATACTCTTTGAACTTTTCATTCTCATTCTCCCATAAGTGTACAATGAAGTTTTCCAGAGACTATATGTGTGATGTGTTATTACACAATAATATAATATCACAATAGAGTGAATGCACAAGAAGACTTGAGAATATAGATCTCTTCTATTAAGGCAGGTACGAAAAAGAGATATAAAAATGTAAAATAATGCCATGCTTCTCACTCAATGTTTTGAAAAACATATTTTCTCATAAGTATATGATTTATGTTAGTGTCTTATTGTTATTACATTGATCAACGAATTTAAAATTCTGTTTTAATTTCTAACACTGTATGTATGATAGATACAGGCTCTGAGGCCAAAACGTTTGAGAACTCCTGTCCCAGACAAACGAAATGAAGCCTTCAGCCCAGAGTCAGACTAAACTCACTCCGGTCACACTATCCCTCCTCTAGGCGGAGGAGAAATTCTGACAGAAAGTGGACTTTAAGAAAAACATTTCCTAAGGCAGCCAGCCAGTCACTGGCCTCCTTTCCCCTACAAACGCCCCTCTTTTCTACCCTATTTGGAGACCGTAGCTAGGTTGGAGGTTAGAGTGGGCGGGGACCGAGTGGGAGGTGCTGGGCTAGTGGGCGGGGCCAACACGCCGAGGTCGGACAAGACACTGCCTACTCGAGAGCTGGGCATGCGCCAGGCGCACTGCATTCTGGGATGCGGAGCGGGCGGCAGGCCTTGACCAACGAGATACTGCTACGTCACAAGGGGGTTGTCCCTCTGGTGGCTCAACCTCGCGGAGCACTCCGGGGCCTCCCCCGGGCTGCCGTCCGCGCAGCTCGCTGCTCTGTGGCCGGTGGGCCGTGCGGGCCCCAACATGGTGGACTACTACGAGGTGTTGGGTGTGCCCCGGCAGGCCTCGTCCGAGGCCATCAAGAAGGCATACCGCAAGCTGGCGCTTAAGTGGCACCCCGACAAAAATCCTGAGAACAAGGAGGAAGCAGAGCGGAGATTCAAACAGGTGGCTGAGGCCTACGAGGTGCTGTCCGACTCCAAGAAACGCGACGTCTACGACCGCTGTGGCAAGGCCGGCGTGGATGGTGGTGGCGGCGCCGCCAGCGGGCCCTTCGAGGACCCCTTCGAGTACATCTTCACCTTCCGCGACCCGGCCGAGGTCTTCAGGGAGTTCTTTGGTGGCCAGGACCCATTTTCGTTTGACTTCTTCGGAGACCCGCTTGAGAACATTTTTGGGGGTCGGAGGAGCTCTCGAGGAAGCAGAAGCAGATCATCAGCATCCCTTTTCTCCACCTTCAATGAATTTCCAGTCTTTGGGGGTGGGTTTTCTTCTTTGGATACAGGATTTACTTCCTTTGGCCCCCTGGGAAATGGGAGCGTTTCTTCCTTCTCCATGTCTGCTGGTGGTGGAGGGACAGGCAGCTTCAAGTCCGTGTCAACATCCACAGAAATAGTTAATGGCAAAAAAATCACCACCAAGAGAATTATTGAGAATGGCCAAGAAAGAGTGGAAGTGGAAGAAGACGGAGAGTTAAAGTCCCTGATAATAAATGGCAAAGAGCAGTTGCTACGCATTGGCACCAAGTAATTCCAGCCCATGTTTGACTTAAAAGCACATTTTAGGGAATAGCACAACTTTTTTTTAAGATTGCAAGTAAACTCTACTTTCACAACAGCTGTACCCAAGAGTTTATAAACACGTCATGCCAATGCCTATTTGTTGTTATTGTTGAGACTATGAAAATAGGACCTCTGTCTTTAAAACTGTTGTAAATATCTGTATGCACTTTGCTATTTATTAAACTTAATCCCAAGGCAGATGGTGATTATTTCATAATGCTAGGACAAAATGTCACCACAGCACCTTGAATCTTGCCTTTTTCCTTTTTGTTTGAAATATAAGCCAGGTAATTTGCTCTGAATCATTTTACTTCAATTTTTTCGTATGTAGTGGTGAAAGATACGAATATATTATTAATACTTATGTTTTAAAATAAAGATGGCTTTTAATTGCACATACATGCTGGTGATGCAGGAAAAGTTAAAATATAATGTTAAACCCAGGCTTTTTAAAAGCAGGTAAACCTGGCAAAGTGGCTGTATGAGTTTCCTGTGGCTGCTGTAACAAATTACCACAAACTTGGTGTCTTAAAACATTCTCTTAAGTTTTGGAAGTCAGATGTCTGAAATCCCTTTCACTGGACTGATATCAGTGTTAGCAGAAATATACTCCCTCTGAAAGCTGAGGCAAAATATTCAAGTAAATGCCTTATGGTTACATGGTTGGTTAATGGCCTGTTTGGACTGTACTCAGCTCTTGGTTCTGCAACTATGGTAGCTCCTGAAATGGAAAACAGCATTTCCATAAGGCTACACAAAGGACATAGATCAAGTTAGATTAACCAAAGCCAGGTTTCATCTGAAATACTGGTTGAGTGATACATCATACATATATTTGAGAAAGCACCATTCTGTTGGCATAGTTTATGCTCCAAATGAAGATCTTTGGGGCATGTTGCCTTGGGATAGTCCATATCACAAAGTGTCCCATTTCCCATGGTCACTTCTGAGGAAAGGTTCACATAAGGCATGAGAGCAAATGAGCAACGAAGCTAGACAGGCTAAAAATGCAGCTTGCTCTTAATTCTTTGCAGAAAGGTCATATGGCCTGAACACATAATTAATAAGCTATAACTATGTGTGAATGAGTTTGGATATGCTTTAGTGTCCTGAAAGTCCCATCTACATGGGATTACATGCAAACAATACACAGCAGGGACATGGGAGTCAGCTGGCAGTGTCCCATGGGCACAGAGTTTGTCATTGAACTGTCAAATGAAGTCACTGAGGTACCTGAGGCATTTGCTTCTTATATACCAACTGTACTAGAAGTATCAGAATAAAACTGTCAGGGCTTATTAAAAATGAGTTCATTTACTTGTCAGGCAAGGGAACTGACGCCTGTGAAGGTATTCACTGAGTAGTTTGCTGGGAATGGGCTTACTTCTAAAGAAGTTGGGGGACCAAAGGAGTTTTGAAGTAATAGGAAGGTACAGTTTCATGATGCTTAGTTGTGTTGGAAACCACCACTCCGGATAGGGCAGAATAAGTGTGCTTGATCTGTACCATTGGCTAAAATAAATTCCATTGTTCAGTGGTCACCAAAGAGTCTGGCGTGACAAGGTCACTCAGAGGTCGTGAGTCTTTAACAGTTCTAGCTAGTTTTAACCAGTTGAAGGCAAACACAGTATTCAGTTTTGATATATACTGGATTAGTACTGCTATAAATAGAAAATTTCCTTTTCCAGCAGTATAAAGCATTTTATTTAAAGAATTTTCAAACTTGATAATCTTTTAAAAATGTCTCAGCCTCCAAGAAAACACACTGCTATAGGCCTGTATGTGGGCATTCATCTTTTATGGAAGGGTTGAGAAGCTTTTCAGAGTGGTGAAAAAGGACATTTCCTCTGGGGCAAAGATAACCATCTTGAGTCCCCTGCAGTGGATCCCCTCCATGGAATAACAAGCATCTTCCCACAGAGCCACAAGGCAGAGAGAGGCACATCCTCTGAGCTCCAAGAGACCTAGAGACCTGTGGCCATCTCAGCAAGATCCCAAAATCCAAAAAGCCAGACACTTCTCCTGGCTGGAGCGCTACACACAACCGTTTTTAGTTCAGCTTACCTCACGAAATGGAAGGCCTTTGAAAGAATAGTCCCTTTAAGTATCTATCAAAGCAGAGGTCCCCAACCTATGGTGAGTTGTATAATTGTTTCATTATATATTACAATGTAATAATAATAGAAATAAAGTACACACTAAACGTAATGTGCTTGAATCATCAAGAAACCATCCCCACCCCAGGGAAAAATTGTCTTCCATGAAAACAGTCCATGGTGCCAAAAAGGTTGGAGACTGCTATATAAAATGATCAATCCATCTTCTTCCCCTCTGATTCCACTCTCCTATCTCCAGATATCTTCCCTATCCTGGGAAATCATTCACCCATATGCCTACTTCTCTAGGAATTTCTAATTCTACTTTCTCATCTGACTTTCTCAATTAATGCAGACTCCTTCCATTTCCTCTTCTCCCACCTTTCTTTAAGCCCTTTCAGCATAACTTTAGTCACCACCAACCCAGTGTGACTTCACTTTAGGAGTTAGTCAAAGGCCTCATTACTGAATGCAATAGCCTATTCTCTACTTTTAGCTCACTCAAAAATAAGTTTTGTTAAAGTGGTGCTTTCTAATGGGAGCTCCTTATTTTTAACACTTAGGGAATGAGAATATTTATGTAAAGCCAGGGAGAGTGTTTTGTTTGAGGTATTCAGAGGAATTCTTTACCTTGGGACTTTATGAAAACTTTGTAGAGAATGATTATATTCACATATGGGGGCAGGGGAACAGTAACAAGGGAAGCAAAAAAGATGAATCTTTTAAAACATAGATGGAAAGTAATGAAGAACAAGATTGATAATGCAGAAAAGAAAGCCAACAACGTAAATGTGCTCTTTCAGAGATGCTCTCCCAGAATGCAGGGGGAAATAGAAAAGATAAGAAAGTTGAAGAGTAAGATGATAGCAATGGAGCCTGAAGAATACAAAACAATGGGTGACGGGAACAAAATTTCAATGGCAGCAATAGGAAACCTTCAAGCTTTGAATAAGATGTGGATTTAGCATTGGCTTACTGTCTGTGGTAGTGAGAATAATGCCCCACAAAGTGTCCACATCCTAATCCTCAGAACCTGTGAGCATGTTACATTACATGCAAGGGATTTTGCAGACATGATTAAGGGTTTTGAGGAGGAGGAGGATTATCCTGGATTATCTGGTGGCCAGTGTAACCACAAGGCCCTTATAAGTGAAAGAGGGAGACTAAGAGGCAGAGATCTGAAGATGCTACAATGCTTCTACATGGAAATGGAAAATGAGAAGAAAAAAAGAACATAATCTAAAAGAATAAATTTACACTAAATAGAATAAAATCAAACTATACCTTGGTGAATGAAAGAATTCTTATGTCAAAAGCAACTATCAAATTGGAGTATTGAAACAATTTAAAACTTTAAACAAACTTTTTACAAAATTAAGTTAAGAAGTAAAGAGATGAGGCATCAAAAAATGAAAAAAGAATGCAGAATATCTCATTAATAATTATTATTGAATACATATTAAAGATAATATTTTGGATATATCTGGTTAAATAAAATGTATTATTCAATTTCAAAAAGAAAATATATAATAAAAAAACTAATTTTACTGTTTCATTCTGCTCTTTTAAATAGGCCTACTAGAAAATTTAAATTACATATGGAGTTGTATTATATTTCTATCGGACAATTCTGTACTAGACCACAAAGAAAACCTATTAAGAACTTTTGTTGACTCACAAAAAATATGTCATTATAATCCAAAATAATTAGGAAAAAATGACAGCTACAAAAAATCTTAACTGTGTGTATATAAGAAACAGCCTTGTAGATAGCCATAAATCAAAGAGAAAGAAAAAATGAATTTAAGTGATAAAAAGCAATTAAAGGACACTGATCTTTACCAAAACCTAAGAGACACAGAAAAACTCTTATTTATAGCCTTCAATGTCTCATAAGAAAAAACCAAATGTAAGAACTAAAATATTTAATTAAGGAAGTTAGAAAAGCAACTACAAAATAAGCCAAAAGAAACTAGCATGAGATCGTTAATAAGCATAATCTGTAATTAATGAAAGAGAAAGCTTAACGTTTAGTAAAAAGAATACGCAAATATAAGTTATTTTTTTGAGAATAGCAATAAAACAATTCAACCCAATATAAACCTTAGAGAAAGAGAGGAAGCAAAAACATAAGACTTAAACTTGGGTCTTTTGTATTTGTATAAAAATTCCATAAATTACTCAAAAAAGCTAAATCCAAGGGTAAACCAAACCAAATGAGTAAGAGACAAAAATCTCAAAATAAAAAAGAATTTAATATAACAAAAATAATAATGGCATGCCTCTCACATATAATACATGGTAAAGATTTAAATGTAAATAATCTTTTAGGCTCATGCCTGTAATCCCAGCACTCTGGGAGGCTGTGCCCAGAGGACTGCTTGAACTGAAGAGTTTGAGACCAGCCTGAGAAAGAGCCAGATCCTGTCTTTACTAAAAAGAAAAGAGGAAGAGAGAGAGGAGGGGAAGGAGGGAGGGGAGGGAGGGGAGGGGAGGGAGGGAGGAGAGGAGAGAGAGGAAGAGAGGAGAGGAGAGGAGAGGAGAGGAGAGAGAGGAGAGGAGAGGAGAGGAGAGGAGAGGAGAGGAGAGGAGAGGGAGAGGAGAGAGAGGAGAGAGAGGAGAGGAGAGAGAGGAGGAGAGGAGAAAGAAGAAGATTGCTGGGCATTGTGGTGCCTGCCTGTAGCCCCAACTACTTGGGAGGCTGAGGCAAGAGGATTGCTTGAGCCCAAAAGTTTGAGGTTGCAGTGAGCTATGATGATGCTACTGTACTCTAGCTGGGGAGCAGAGTACTCTGTCTCATATATATAATACATATAAAAGTCATCATGCCTAATAAAGGCACAACATTAAGTCTATATATGCACTATAGTCCTCTGGCCTCTCAACTAGTAATAAAACCAAACATGATAAGTATAATATTTATTGAGGATACGTCCTAGGCGAACATCAAACCAAAATGGTTTTATCTCCTGCCCAGGTCATCCAGTTAGAAAAGTGAGAATGAAGATTGGAGCCAATGCAGCTAACTCTAGAGAATATGGTCACACAGAAAAAGTAGAAGAAAAGAGTAACAATTACTTTTTGAATGCCTTCCTACTTTAACTTGGTTAACATCTATAAACACACATATATTTTATAATTGGATAACTGCATTGCCTAAGGGGGAAAGAAAACCAAATTGAACAAATATCTTGTAGTCTGATCAAAAACAAAAATGAAGTTTACAGTCCTTTGCAGAAATACATAGATTAATCAAAAGAAGTACAGAAATAGGAATACAAAAACTATAAAAGATCTAAGGTCATGGAAATTAATATAAATTAAATGTGTACAACATAAATGAGCTGAATCCTCTCACAAAAAAGATGGCTCACTCACTGGATTAAGAAAATAAAACCCATCTCCAAAGAATCCCATTTCAGTTAAACCCAAATATTCAGGGTTAATGTAAGATGCCTCTGAAACCCTTGGTAAAGGAGTAGATCCCACTATGGGAACTTGGGGTGGGATAGGGTAGGTTTGGTGATGTGGTCGGCCCCTCCTAACAAACCTTGACCCTTTTAGGCTCATGCCTCTTCATCACTGTGCCACCTTCACAGGGTTATCTCCTCCCTACCCCTCCCACCACCCCTCAATTTCAGCAAACCAAGTAGAAGACCCATTTGACATGCAATCCTCATGATGCCTTCCCAACTCTGGTACGTCCCCCACATTATACACCAGACACCAACGCCTGGTCAGAAAACCTCTTGTCGGTACAGCTCCTTCTCCGAAAAGTTGGCCTTGGTAGTTTCTCTCTCTGGCCACAGAGACCCCATTTTCATTGCCTCACTTCCACGTAACTTACTGAAACTTCTACTTCCTTTGAGTGCTTAGGTATCCTGTGATCACTTCTCTATCCCTTCCAGGACAGGGCCACTAGAAATGATCATGTTGACAATTGCAATTTGCTAGTTCCTTCATCCTTCCACTAAAAATCTGCAAGCGAAAATCCCCTGATGGAACCGTTCGAGACTCAATTTATCTGCTCCTGCACAGCTGAAGGAAATTAAACAACCGTGAAGACAGTGCCTTCATCTTCATGGACAGTCTCAGCTGAGTCACACCATTGTTTGTTGATCCTATTACAGACCCTCAACCCTGCCTCTCCTTCCTCTCAGAAACGATTGCAAACCTTAACTACATTACCATAGACCACTTAACAATTTATCTCACTGAAGACTATTAGGACAAGAAGTAGAAATTGTCTTAAAACGAGTAGATAACAAAGCACTTGTAAATTAAATATATATAATATATGCAGGCTGCATGTGGTGACTCATGCCTGTAATGCCAGCACTTTGGGAGGCCAAGACAGGAGGACCACTTGAGGCCAGGAGTTCGACACCAGTCTGGGCAACATAGTAAGACCCCATCTCTACAAAGAAAAATATTTTTAATGAGCCAGGAATAGTGGCATGCTTGTAGTCCCAGCTACTCAGGAGGCTTAAGCAGAGGATCCCTTGAGCCCAGGAGTTCAAGGTTGCAATGTGCTATGATCATGTCACTGCACTCCAGCCTAGGTGACAGAGCAAGACCCTGTCTCTAAAAAAAAAAAAAAAAAAGTTTAAATAAATAAATAAATAAAAATATGCTCTGCCTGGAACACTGGTTGGATAAAGGTACCAATACAGACCTGAGTTAGTGGCTTCCTGTTGACACAGTTGATGCCCCCAATGAAGACCATGTTGGGCATGATCGGCCTGGGGTAGTCCATCACAAAGTCATTTCTGAACAGCCACACGGATGCATGGCTAAGAACGTCCACCAATGATACCTCTCTCTGAAGAACCTCAGAGGCCAGGCTTGCATAAGGAGAAAAAGAAGCATGGCAAATGTATAACAAGGGCAGAGGGTAGAGCATGTTCTTGACCCTTTCCAGGAATGTCATGTGGTCTGAATTCTTTGTTAGTAACCTAGGAACATATGAGGAAGGGTTTGGACACTGTGTGCCCTCAAAGTCTAAGTGACATACAATGGAACGCAAAAAATACACAGTAGGAATGGACAGGTACTTAGCCAGCAGTGCCCCACAGGGGTACACGGGGTCTGTTAAAACCACATCAAAGGAACTGGCATTCAGGTGCCCAATCAGGGTCTTGTTATGCATCAGGTCCGCACAAGACTTATAAAAAAGCTCAGACGACCTTTTCAAAATTGCCATAGTTTTAAAAAATGTCTTCAGAAAATGTTGTGTTTCAAATGTAATTTGAATGTATTCCTTAAGGAGGTGGTCAAAATAGTCCTTGGTGTATGGAAAACCATAGGTTTTCAGGGTGAAAAAGTCCTCTTCTTTGATGTGCATATTCACCTCTGGTGTGAGGACCACAGCTTGGTGGCCTCGGGCGTGAAGCTCCCTCACCACCTCTCTCATGCTGAGCCAGTGGCTGCCATCCATGGGCACCACCAGCACCTTCTCACCTTCAGCCCAGGGTCCAGCACTCAGGAAGAGCAGCAGCCCAAGGAGCCGCATTGGAAGAACCTGGAGTCCGGTGGCCATCTCAGCAGAAGCCAACAGAAACTAACTTTCCACTGCTGGCTATGCCTCTTATAGTCACTTTTCCCACCCTTATTAGTTTATCATTGAGCCACTTAGCAAAATGGCATGTAATTGAAAGACAGAGTTCCCTCCTTAAGTTAATCATTACAAAATAAATCTATCCCTATCTGGCCCCTGGGAGAGATCTGATCACTCCTATCTTGGAAAAACTCAACTGACCCTGCTGCTTTCTTTGAGGAGCATTTGAGTTCACTCTCATGTTTTTCATCCAATGTCTAAAATATGTGGACACATATTTCATGTCATTGCTCCTACTTCTCTATTACCCACATTCTACCAGGCCGTGACTATGCTCTGAAGAGTCACCAATGTCCTGGTCCCCAACCATAACCTCTCTGCTAGATATGATCCTATCTTATAACTCCTTCCTCCCATGCATAACACGGAGCACATCCAGAAAAACATATAACATGGCAAAGCCAGCTTTCTCTAAATGAGTAGGGAGATGCTGGCTCTCTGGTTTTGTACATTTTCCACACCAGGATATCTCTTGTAATGATCAGGCAGCATTCCCTTTGAAGTGGCTCTCAAACAAGGGCCTAGCTGGAGGGACACTGACCTCAAGATGTGATGGTGTGATTCTGCTGAAGGGTTTGTCGAGAATTCTACCTCTACTCCATGGAATATGAATTGCTGATATCTAAAGCACACATGGGCAAGACAACCCTAAGCATTGACACACAGTGAATTTGGAACACATCCTGCTCCCTATGGGACAAGAGGGAGCTGAAGCCTGGCCCCAGATCTGGCCTTGTCTGAACTTCTCTTCTCCTGAATGCTGAAAGCTCCAGCCTTCTGCTACTCTGTTTAGGGACTCGGCTGCACACTGAAGCTTATGTTCAGGCCTTTCTCCAAGGTCATTTCCAGTGCCAAGTCCTGATAAGGACAGATTCCTCCAGAACAGGAGGGCTGCATAACTTGTGGGGCCCTTTGTTCAAACTTCAAGATGGAGAAAGCAAATGAGGGCCCCTTTGAGTGTGGAAGCCTGTGTGGTCAGAGGGTCCAGAAAGTCACTCCCACATGTGCTTGGCAAGATTATTGAGGTCCCCTTGTCCTGGTTGCCCCAGGAGGATGCAGGCAGGCTCCCTGTGCTGTCTGGCTTTCTAGCTCACCGCATCTGTGTCTTCATGCCTGGTCGGTCCACCATGGCTGGCCAGGCTGAGGCTTTCCTTTGGGAGGACGTTTCCCCTCTAGAGACCAACACCGATAACGCACGCCACCGCTGGGCAGATGTGCGCATGCCCAGACCCAGCTGCCACTATTGCAGGGAGCATTTGGCTCTAATCTTTTCTTGCAGGCTAGAAGTCCAGAGTCCTGGTTCTCTTATTTCCTCTCTAACAGCAATTTCTCTGCCCTCTTTTATCTGGGTCCTCTCTCTATCTCAGCCACATGACTGTATGTTTTTCCCAAGCCTCAGTTTCCATCCTTCTACCCCCCAGGTCAAATACTATCATTGCCATCTCCCATTGACTTCTCCCCAGAGCCACGCAAGAAGTGGAGGAGTCCGTCGGGCCTAAGCCCCCCACGTCCTATAGGAAGAGGTAAAAGCATGAGAGAGGAAGGGGTAGGGTGCGCGGGAAGGCAGAACTCTCAGTTTGTTGTCGCTGCTGCAGCTGCTAAGGTTGTCAGCAAGGGCAGCTAGCGCTTAAGTTTCCAGCGGAAGCAGCGAGTTTCCAGAGTGGGGCCTCCTGCCAGTAGCCTCCCTGCTTGCCCAGCTGCGGCTGCGGTGGGTGCCGGTGGGGGAGCAGGCCGGGGCAGCGTGCCCAGCTCTCCTCCCTGCGAGCATCTGCCAGCCACACCCGGGTGTCACCTGCCGCGTGAGGAGCCGTGTCAAACCTGAGGACTGGGCCTGGCCGCAGTGCTCGCTCTGGGCCAGTGAGAGACATCCATCTAGGCTAGACTAGATGAAGAGGCATACAGCAAAGGATTAAGGTTATGACAGTCTTGATGTCTTGATTTGGTCCCAAAGAAGCCATAGATTTGATGCAAAGCCAAACAAAATCTCACTGGGGTTTTGAACATGACCAAAAAAAAAACCCTAAAATTCACCTAAAAGCCTTTCCGGCTTCTGACGATAGAGGTGTCGCTCCTACCAGACCAATGCTCTCACAGATAATGATTATAATCTCTTGCAAAAAAAAAAAAAAAAAATGATTTTGAAGCCACCTGAAGCTCCGAAGAGCAAGCCCAAACAGCAGGAACTAGAGCGGGGTAGAAGGGGCAGTCGCCGGCGAGTTTCCTGGGTCTATGGCTTTCTGCATGGGAGCAAGGCGCAGTAGGCGCCACGCCAAGCCCCTACAACTCGTTCTTTGCTTCGCTGCCCCCACCCACCCCGCACAGGGACATGGGCATGGCGGGAAGCGCTTGGAGAATGAAAAACCGTATGACTCGGGCAACGGTGGGGAGCGTTGCCGGAGCAGCAGGCAGGATGCTGCGAGGTCAGAGGAGTGCACAGTTGTCCATCGGGATCCGCAGGGGACCGGTTCCAGGACCCCGCGATTCAACCTATACCAAAAAGCCAGGCCGGCCCTGGCCTCGTGCGCAAGCTGGGAGCCCGAGCTGCTTCCCGAAGGCAGGGGCAGTCACTGAAGGAGGCAGTGAACGGCGGCGGCCACCAGGGGGCGCCCGCAGCCCGCGGGCAGCACAGACCGGCCGGGCGCCGACACACGCCGCGGGTTGGCGAGGGCATCGGAGCCGGCCAGGGGAGGGCGGTCCCCCGGAGCTGCGAGTATATTGACATCTAAATAAAAAAGCAGCTTCAGTGGAGGGCTAATTCTCAGTGTGGACAAGTTATTTCCTGTCTCACCCCAGCGACCTCTCCTGGCCTCTTAAATGCACCTCAGGTGAGGATCCCACTCCCAGCTCTGGGTAGAACATATGACCTAGGGCTCAACCAATCAGCGTGTCTCATTCCCTTGGCTGCAGTGATTGGCTCAGAGATGGGCATGTGACTTAGCCAGAGCCAATCAGGCAGAAGGACTTTTACCAGGAATCCTGGGGAAAGGACTCCGGCTGAAGCCCTGGCTGCTAGATCCTGAGCCCGGGAGCTATATCGTTGCCAGGGAAACAAGAGACATGAAATAGAGACAAAATGTGGGTTCTAATGACATAGTTTGGCCTTGTAGCAAGCAACACCTAACCTGATATACCTTGAGATTTTTCCAGTATGTGAACCAATAAAATAACTTGCAACGGAAAGCCTTGCAACAAATTCATTGAGTCATGATAACACGGTGAGGTTGCCCAAATTGCTGAGGGGATCACAGGGTGCATCAATTCTATTAAACGAAGAAGGTAAAAAGCCCAGCTCTGCTCTTCACTGGTCAAACAATTTGATAAAGAAAACATACAAAAAAGATGTTTAAATGAACAATTAATCAGGTAAATGCAAATGAAAATAACCTTAAGATATTTTTTCACCTATTGGATTGGTAAAAACCTAAAAAGTTCAAATATAATAAATGTGAGCAAGGATATGAAGTAAAGAGTGCACTTACACATTGCTGGGGGAAGAATTAGTTGTTAATATTTAATGACGTTTAAAATGTGCATGGCACAGCAAGTCTATTTCCTGCATCTTCCCCATGGAAACTCTCACATGGGAGCACAGTGAGGCATACACGAAGATGTTCATTGTAATTTATTTGAATAAAAGTAGGAAGCAAGACTCAGAGACCGAGAAAATATCTGCAATATCTATAATTGCCAAGGAACTAGTATCCAGAATGCAGACAGACAACCCAGTATAAAAGTGGGAAAGAGATTTGAATGGGCAAAAGAGGAAATCCAAATATATAGTCAATGTGTTAGTAATCAGGAAACTACAAAGTAAAATTATGAAATATCATTACATGCTCACCAGGTTAGCAAAATTTTTAAATCTGGCAATGCTAAGTGAAGGTGAGAATGTGAGGCAACAGGAACTCCTTTACAAGGTACAACCACTTTAAATTCTGGAAAATGGATTCTTGGAAAATGTTTCTCATTGTCTTATTAAATGAAAGATATATATAACCTACAACACAGCAACTCCATTCCTAGGTACATAAGCTCAGAAACTCAAGCACATGTGCTTCAGAATTTAAAATGTTTGTTGTAACATTGTCCACAATAGTCAAAAGCTGGATACAACCCAATTTCCATCAACTGTAGAATGGATACATAAAATTGTGGTATAATCACACAATGGGATATTATTCATGAAATATGAACTGAAAATGCATGAACTACAACTTGCAAGAACATGCAACAACACAAATCTCTCAAACATAGGTTAAACAAAAGAAGCAAGACAAAAATAAATACAGTATGATTCTATTTATATGAAGTACCAAAACAGGTAAAACTCATCTATATTCTTTACAGATGCAAAGGTAAGTGGCAAAACTGTAAGGAAAAGCTAGGAAATAATCATCACAGAAGTCAGAGCAGGGATGTAAAGGGGGTAGGATGGAGAACAGGCACCCAGGGCAGATGTCTGGGTGCTGATAGAATGAAGTGTCCCCTGGGGTATAGAACCCAGAGCTTTTGGGGACCTCTCAGCTGTGGTACAAAGTGGAGCGTGGACCTGGACAGACAAGACTCTATGCACCCCGAGCAGATTCCTGAGCCATAAGGGAACAGCTTACCATGGATTCTAGGCTTCTGTTGAATCTTGTTGCCTATCTGTGAATAATAAAGTTACTTTGCTGACGTGTGTGAGTGTTCTGTCTCATTGAACTCATACTCTGGCAGATAGGTTTGTGCAAAACCTCCTGTACAAACCCAGACCCGGGAACTTCCAAATCAAAGAATCTTAGCAGAAATTGAAAAGATATTTAGAGCTGCCCTGGGACTGGTAACTGGTGCATGGTGTTCTTCTCCCAGAAACGGATACCAGTACACGGCACCCTGGTTCACTGTCATTACCAGTCCTGAGATTCCAGAATTCTATGACTTGTCAGATATAAGGAGGTGGGGGTGAGGATGGACCTAAAGTGATAGGGCAGAGACAGGATAGAAAAACTGATTTCCCAAGTCTTCTTATCACAAACTTAGGTCCACCTCCTATCTCCACTCCTACCCTAAGGTTTGAGGAACCCCTAGAAAAAATCTTGCTAAGTCACTGTAAAGCTCTCAGCATCATGCTAGCCTAGATATCCTCATGTACCCAGCCCATGGTGGGACTTCAGTGGTCATTTGCTCTGACCAAGTCTACTGCAGCTAAAAGACCACATAAGGAGTTTGAATGGTAAATACATTTGGGCATTACTCTTATGCAATAGCTTAGATTACAAGAATATTTTTTACAGGGTCACCAGCTTGAACAGTTCCAAAGGGCATAGAGCTATCTATCTACATAGCTCTGGGCTTTGGGCACATCTTTGAGGTTATGCAACACAGCAGCCCTGGTCCTCTTGCTTTCTCAACTCCACCTTCCCTTCTGTCAGGGCAAGCTTCATGGATGTGCACCTATGCAGTCACACTGCACCCCACATTTAGGAGGGCCTGATTGCTTTCCTCCTAAGATCAGGAACAAGAAAAGGATGTCCTCTCTTTTCCACTTGTAGTCAATATTGTACTAGAGGTTCTAGCCAAGGAAATTGGCAGGAAAAGAAAATAAAGGTCATCCAGATTGAAAAGGAAGAAGTAAAGCTACCTCTATTTCTAGATGAGATGATTTTTTAGGTAAAAAAATTCTAAGAAATCACTTTTAAAAAACCCATTAGAACAAATAAAATAGTTCATCAAGGTTGCAGGGTATAAGATCAATATACAAAAGTTTTATTTCTACACACTAGCAATGAACAATCCAAAATTGAAATTCAGAAAACAATTCCATTTAAAATAGCATCAAAAAGGAAGAAAATATTTAAGAATAGATTTAATTTTTTTAAGTGTGAGACTTGACACTGAAAAGTAATATATATATATATATAAACATATTAAAGAAGACCTAAATAAACAGAAAGATTTCCCACATTCACCAATCAGAAGGTTTACTCCTATTCAGATGGCAATATTTCTCAAACCGATCTACATAGTCAACACAATCTCTATCAAAATTCCAATTGGTAAGTGAGTGGATTTGCTGTAACAAAGACAGAGCTGAACTCCCTAAGATACTGGCCAATCAGCGTTTAGGATTGTCAGGGAAACCCGGAAGGGAAAGGGGGGAGCTGGTTCTGTGGTCACATGCCCAGGGGTCCAGTGGGAGGAGCCATTGCCCAGCGGCCTGCTGGCGCTTCCTGTTTCCGGTTTCCGGAGAGGAGCACCGCGAGGCGCAAGGCGGAACGCTGGCCGCTGACGCGAGCTCTGGGACCGGGTCCTGCAGCTGGCTGGCCCAGTCTCCCAGCCCCAGACAGACATCCCTCGGGGGACCCTGAGCTTTGGCTCCTCCATTTGCCGGCGCCACGTGAGTGTGAGGGGCGTGGTGGAGGAGGCGGGCTGGGCTGCTCTCACACCGCGGCGGCATCTGTGACAGGAACCGAAATTACTAATTTTGGTTAGCCCTGGTTCTAGCCAGAGATCGGGCTAAGGAGCCGCAGGGCAGAATGGAGGCAGAGGCGTGAGGGCGACGAGTTATGGGGTCCCGAAAGGAGTGAGGGAGAAAGGACTTCCGAGACCAGAAAGGGAGTTTACGATATTTGGAAGGCAGGGAAAGGTAGGTAGGGAAGGTCCCTAGGTATGGAGTCCATGTGAGGTGTTACTGGATTTACTTGTAGAAAGAATTTTGGCCTGCATTAGGTAGGGAGATAAAATGGCATCATTTGGAGAAGGTATGGATATAAGCAGTTGGAAAGTGAGGACACTACATAGAGCGAGGTTTTCTAGAACCCTGGAAGAGGTTTGAGGGGGATGCAAGTACTGCGTGATGAATAGTGGCTAATAGAGGAATTATCTTGTGTTCCTTGTTGTAGGGAGCTTCCACTATTGGGACATAGAGCTACTTACTTCTCTGAGGCTACTTCTCTCTTGAGTTTTTTCAACGTTGGGCCATTTCACCAATTAATTAGGGCTGCTCTTCTAAACTTAGGCTGCTGGAGATAAGAATAAGGGCTCTTACATCAGAAATAAGCCAGTGGGAAGAAAGTGGAGTTTCCACTGAAAAATGGAAAATGACTAGGCCTAGTCTTGAGTCTTGATGGTGAAGTGAGTGCTACAGAGTCCCAGTGGTTCAAATTGCTTCCCAATTCCTGGCTTAGTCCGTGGCAATCCCAATAAATAAGAATTTTTTAGCATTGTCAAATAGAGCTGTCATTATAGAATGAGAAAATTAAAGGGGATTTTTCAAGATCATTAAATTCTCCTGTCCAAAGCATCTGGAGATTCTAATTGTAGTATGTTAAAAGAGACTGCCCAGCCCTTGCATTTTATACTCTTCCTGATTGTTGCACCCCCTTTCTTTATCAGAAGTTTGACAGCAAATATCTTTATGCCATGAATCGTCCGAGTTGCCCCACTAATTTCACACGTTTAATATTTGTATAATCTAGGGCAAGTAATGTTAAGTTATTCTATAAGCATCAGTTTCCTCCTCTTTAAAATGGGAAAAATTATACCTAACTTTTCTGAGTTGTGAAGATTAACAGACATAGTCTAGGTAAAGTATCCAGAGCATATAATATAAAAAATATAAAAAAAGAAAAAAAATTCCAATTGGTGATTTTGCAGAAAGAAAATGATCCTAAAATTCATATGGAAATTCAAGGTAGCCAGAACAATTTTGAGAAGGAATAACAAGTTCGGAGGATTAACACTTCCCAATTTCAAACTTAATATGATATAAAGCTACAGTAATCAAGATAGTGTGGTCCTAGCATAAAGACAGACATATAGATCAATGGAATAGAATTAGGAGTCCAGGAATAAGCCCTTACATTTACAGTCATGGTTTTCCACAAAGGTCACAAGACATTCAGAAGGGAAAGAATAGTCTTTTTAACAAATGGTACCAATACAGCTAGATATTCATAGGTTAAAAAAAATGAAGTTAGACCCTTACACCATACACAGAAATTAACTCAAAGTGGATCATAGACCTAAATATAAGAGTCAAAACTATAAAACTGGCCGGGCGCTGTGGCTCACGCCTGTAATCCTAGCTCTTGAGGCCGAGGCGGGCGGATTGCTCAAGGTCAGGAGTTCAAAACCAGCCTGAGCAAGAGCGAGACCCTGTCTCTACTATAAACAGAAAGAAATTAATTGGCCAACTGATATATATATAAAAAAAATTAGCCGGGCATAGTGGCGCATGCCTGTAGTCCCAGCTACTCGGGAGGCCGAGGCAGAAGGATTGCTTGAGGCCAGGAGTTTGAGGTTGCTGTGAGCTAGGCTGACGCCATGGCACTCACTCTAGCCTGGACAACAAAGTGAGACTCTGTCTCAAAAAAAAAAAAAAAAAAAAACAAAAAACTATAAAACTCTCAAAAGAAAACATGGGAATAAATATTCTTGGCCCTGGATTTGGCAATGTTTTTATTAAACTGACACCAGGATTACAAAAAAAAAAATAGATTAGTTGTACTTGATCAAAATTTTAAAACTTTTGTGCTTCAAAAACACCATCAAGAAAGTGAAAAAAAACCCAACAAAATAGGAGAAAAAATATATATCATATATCTGATAATGGACTTATATCTAGAATGTATATGGAACTCTTACAACTCAACAACAAAAAACCCAATTTAAAAATGTACAAAGGTCTCGAATAGACATTTCACCAAAGAAGGTATAGAAATGGCCAATAAGAACATGAAAAGATGTAGAACATCAGTCTTCATTAGGGAAGTGGGAATAAAAACAAGATGGCACTTCATACCTACTAGGATGGCTATAATTTTTAAAATCAAAACTGAAAAGGTGTTGGCAAAAATGGGGAACCCTCATACATGCTGGTGGTAATGTAAAATGGTACAGCCACTGTAAAAAGAAGTTTGTTGGTTCCTCTATAATTTAAACATAGATTACCCTATAACCCAAAAATTCCACTCCTGGGCATATACTCAAAAAAACTGAAAATGTGTTCAAATAAAAACTTGTATACAAATAGCAACACTATTCACAATAGCCAAAAAGTGGAAACCCAAATGTCCATTGACTGATGAGGTAATAAACAAAATGTGTATCCATACAATGGAATATTGGTATTATTCAGCTATAGAAAGGAATGAGGTACTGATACATGCTACAACATGGATGAACCTGAAAACATCGTAAGAAGGCAGATGCAAAAAAATCCATATTGTATAATTCTTCTATATGAAATATCCAGAATAGACAAATCCACAGAGAAAGGAAGCAGATTGATGGTTGCCCAGCAACAGGGCAGGAGAGAATAAGTAGTGACTGCTCTCTGTACCTGGGTTTCTTTTGTGGGTGATGAAATGTTCTGGAACTAGACGGTGGTAACAGTACACAAAGTAAGTAGCTCACTTTAAAATGGTAAAGTTTATTTTATACATATTTTATCACAGTAAAAGAAAATGGTACAGCCACTTTGAAAAATAATCTAGCAGTTTCTCAAAGGATTAAACATACAGTTACCATACAACCCAGCAATACCACCACTAGGTAGATACCCATGAAAATTGAGAACGTATGTCCACGCAAAATTTATGCGCTAATGTTCACACACAATAGCTAAAACAACCCAAATGTCCATCAACTTATGAGTAGATATACAAAGTGTGGTATAAGCCTACAATGGAATACTATTTGGCAATAAAAAGTTATGCTACAATATGGATGAACCTTGAAAACCCTATGCTCAGGGAATAAAAGCTTGTCACATACTGTGTGATTCCATTTCAATGGAATGGAATCCATAGAATAGGCAAATCCACAGAGACAGAAAGGAGATTAGTGGTGGCCAGGGGCTGGAGGAAGGAGGGAATGAAGAGTGATTGTTAATAGTTATGGGGCATCTTTTTTTTTAACCCACTTAATCTCATTCTCTTAGAGTTATCTAAATTATTAATCAGCCAGGTTTCTAGTCTTTTTGATACTCATGTTGAATACTTTTTCTTTAACCTTGATTCACTCTAGCATTTAGCCACTCTTTAGATATTTACTTATTAACAGAAAATCTGCTGCGAAATCTTCTGTGTGTTTGATTATCTCCAAGATAACCAGTCATAAAGATAAACACATGATTTTGAAAGAGAGGCAGAACATTAAAGGCATTGTAGACATTAGTAGTCGTGCCTTTTTTTTTTATGTAAGAATGATATGGCATTTTCTTCTTATTATTATTTCAGGGTATTATAAGGGCACAAACATTTTGGTTACATTTTATGTCTTTGCCTCTCCCTAACGAGGGTTAGAGGCATGACTTGGCATTTTGGAGTTTTGTTTCCCTGACTTTCCTGGAGTCAAACTTCAGCTCAACCAAGAAATGTTGAGGTTTCAGCCTGAATGGGCATTACCTGTAAAGACGCCTGCAGGGAGACAAAGGTGAGCTCAGAGGGTGGGCAAAGCATCCTGCTGGGGGCCTTGCTAGGTAGAAGTCACTGGCGCTCACTTGGAATTTATTTAGATCAGAGTTTCTTGATTTCAGCACTATTGCATTTTGAGCCAGATTAATTCTTTGTTGGGAGTGGGTGAGTTGGATATTTCTTATGCACTGTACGACCTCATACAGCATCAGACCATTTTGACATTATGAAAAAAATGTGCCCTCAGCCCTGGCCTCTACTTACTAGATGACAGTAACATCCCTCCAACTATACATCAAAATGTCTTCAGACACTTTCACCCAGGGGAGAAAAAGTGACCCCATTTGAGAACCATCATTTAAATAATTGTGGAACATAAGAAAAGGAAACTTGGGAACAGAAGAACTAGTCCTTAGGAATTGGGATCTGATTTTCTAGGAAAATGCATCCCAAAGACTATTACAAGAAATCCGTGTTGTTTTTCTCTCCTTGCAGAACATTTTAGCCTGTTTGAGTTAGGGTCCAAGGAAGAGTGGTGGGGGCTATAGTTTCCCCTGGCAGTCTATAGAGCACTTTCACATGCACCCTTGGATCCTCCAACAACACTGTGAGAGGCAAGGAAGATGTTACCAGCCTCATTTTTAGCTGAGGAAGCTGAAGTCCAAGGCCAGGTGGGTGAGAGGAAGCTGCTCAGATTGCTGACTCCTCGGTTCACCTTCCTTTCTTCCTTTTGTGTTGCTGCCACTTTCCAGGTCACATATCATGGCAAAAACATACTGGGCAAATACATGACATTGAGGTGGAAGGGTGACAAGGGAGTGAGCTCTCCTTCCACCTTTGCCGGCTGCAGCAGCCTGTGGCCTCAGGAGTTCACTCAACCCGCCTGCAAGCCTGAGTTTCCCCTTTCAAGTGAGAATCCTCCATCCTATCATTCTAGCATAAAGTAGCACTATCTCATTGGAGTTGCATTTAGTTTTAGGGTTCTCCCACGAACTTGATCTCACCCAACCCTACCATGATTTCCTAAGTGTTGCCATTTTATAGATGGAGACATGAGCACTCAGGAGTCAGCTACCACTTGCCCAGCCACACAGCTGGATTCGAATCCAAGCCTGTAGCTCTTACCCTGTGCTCTTGTTCTCCTGATATCCTGGGGGCAAAGGGATCCCTGGAGCCAGCAGGGGAGCTTCCCCAGGGATGAGCTCTCATTCTGTTCCCTCCCACAGACCAGGCTGGACAGGGAAAATGTGATCATTCCCGGAGCCAGAGCTCTGGCCATGACCTGGCTTCAAGATCTGCAGCCTGTCCTTTCAAGGGTTTGAGCAGTTCTTTGCATTGCAAATGGAAAATACTAGGATTTACCTCTGACTTCCTTCGTTCTAAGACAAACCCTCCAAAGGGCCTTTTAATAATGAAATGTGAAGCTAAATTCTCTTCTAAAACAGAGATATTTGAGACCTGAGCCTCCCAATACAAAAAGGGGTTAGCCATGGGATGGACAGCTCTCAACCAAGAAGCAATAAAGGACAACATGAAGAGCACTTTAGCATCTGGCTGGATCCAAGCCCTTATAGGCAGAAGGAAGGGCTTAAAAACAAAGGCTCTTGTTTCATGCACACCATGTGAGATTCTAGGGAAGAAGTGAGGACCAGAGAGGTACCTGTGAGAATCTGTTTGGGGGCAGGTGGTAAGGTACACAGGGCTGGAGAGGAGGCATGCGCAGGACTGGTGTAAGTGGTTTCACAACATCTGGGGCTGCCTTGTGGCCCAGCCTCCTACTCATTCTCACAGCTGGAACCACCAGCCTGATGGCAAAAGGGCTTCTCTAAGGGCCAACTTGGACAGAAACAACCAAGGCAGCCCTCTGAGGTGTCTAAGTCCCTCCTTGGGCAGAGGAGACAGGTAAGACTTTGGTCAAAGTCAAACTAACCTGGACGTTAATGGGAAGCAATCGCACTGTACTCTTCCACACAGGTGAGGCTGGGATCCCAGAAAGGGCACACTTTCTTTGATTGCAAATCATAGCATTATGCAAGGAATGTTCACCAAATTATGGTTTCCAAAAGGCTTTGCACATTTTTTTTTCAAGAAATGTATGAGTATTTGTTTTATAATTAGGCCAGTGGTTATCTATATAACATGGTTACTAATTTGACAGGGGAAATTGAACTTCAGTGTTTATCACAAAAAAATGCCTACATCAAAAAAGTAGAAAAATTGTAAACAAGTGACCTAACAATGTACCTCAAGGAACTAGAAAAGCAAGAGCAAACCAAACCCAGAATTAGTAGAAGGAAAGAAATGAAAAGGTCAGAGTAGAAACAAATTAACTGGAGACTAAATTAATAATTCAGAAAAGTTGGTTTTTTAAAAAGATAAACAAAATTGACAAACCTTTAGCTAGAGTAACCAACAAAGAAAAAAGATCCAAAAAAATAAAATCAGAAGTGAAAGAGAAAACATTAACAACTGATGCCACAGAAATATGAAGGATCATTAGAGACTATTATGAACAACTATACCTCCAACAAAATGGGAAACCTAGAAGAAATGGATAAATTCCTTGATACTTACAAACTACCAAGATTGAGCCATGAAGAAATAGACAACCTAAACAGGCCAATAACAAATAATGAGATCAAAGCAGTAATGAAATGTTTCCCATCAAGCAAAAGCCTACGACCTGATGACTTCACTGCTGAATTCTACCAAACATTTAAAAAGACAAAAAATTAATTCTTCCAAAATCATCCTACAAGGCCAGCATCACCCTAACACCAAAACCAGGCAAGGACACAACAAACAAAAAGCAAACTGTAGGCCAATATCATTGATGAACATAGATGCAAAACTCCTGAACAAAATACTAGCAAATCAAACCTAAAAACACATTGAAAAGATCATTCAACACAATCAAGTGGGATTTATCACAGGGATGCAAGAATGATTCAACACACATGAATCAATAAACTTCATACATCACACTGACAGAATCAAGGGGAAAATCCTATGATCATTTCACAGATACTAAAAAGAAATACAACAAAGTTCAACATGCTTTTCTGATAAAATTATCAACAAAATGGCTATAGAAGGAACATAGCTCAGTAGAGGACATATATGACAAATCCACAGCTAACATCATACTGAATTGGGTAAAATTGAAAGCCATTCCTCTAAGCTCTGTAAAATACAAGAATGCCTTCTTTCATAACTTTTATTCAATATAGTACTAGAAATCCCACCCAGAGCAATGAGGCCACAGAAGGAAATAAAGGGCATACAGATTGGAAAGCAATAAGTCAAATTAGCCTTGTCTGAAGACAACATGATCTTATTCTTAGACAAACATAAAGACACCACCAAAAAAACTGTTATAATTGACAAACGAATTCAAGAATGTTGCAGAATATGAAATCAGCACATAAAAATCAGTAGCATTTATATGTGTCAACAGCTAACAAACTTAAAAGAAAATCAAGAAAACAATTCCATTTACAAAAGCTACAAAATATATCTAAGAATAAATTTAACAGAGAACTCAAAGATCTCTGCATGGAAAACTATAAAACACTGACTAACAACATTGAAGAGAATGCAAAAAAAAAAAAAATTGGAAAAATAGCTCTTGCTCATGGATTGGAAGAATTAATGTTATTAAACTGTGAATGCTACTCAAAGAGATCTACAAGTCCAGTGCAATCCCTATAAAAATACAAGTGGCATTCTTCACAGGCATAGAAAAAAATCCTAAAATTTGAATGAAATCACAAAAGATCCAAAATAACCAAAGCAATCCTGAGCAAAGAGAATAAAGATAGAGATATCATACTACCTGGCTTCAAAATATACTACAAATCCATAGTAACCAAAAAAGGATGGTACTGGTATGAAAACAAACACACAGAACAATGGAGCAGATAGAAACCCCTGAAAGAAATTCACACATTTACAGTCAATTCATTTTTAACAAAGGCACAACAAATATATATTAGGGAATGGAGAGTCTCTTCAACAGATGGTGCTGGGAAAACTGAATAACCATATGCAGAAAATGAAGCTAGACCCCTGTCTCTCACCAAATACAAAAATTAAATCAAAATGGATTAAAGGTTTAAATCTGAGACCTGAAACTATGAAACTACTAGAAGAAAACATTGGGGAAATGCTTTAGGTCATTGGTCTAGACAATTGCTTTTTGGATAAAACTTCAAACGCACAGGCAACAAAAGCAAAAATAGAGAAACGGGAATGCATCAAGCTAAAAAGCTTCTGCACAGCAAAGGAAACAGTCAACAAAGTGAAGACACGACCTACAGAATGGGAGAAAATATTTGCAAACTACACATCCAACAAGGGATTAATAACCAGAAGATATAAGGAACTCAAACAACTCTATAGAAAAAAACCAAATAATCTGATTTAACAATTGGCCAGAGACCTGGACATAGTTTGGATGTTTGTCCCCTTTAAATCTCATATTGAAATTTGATCCCCAGTGTTGGACGTGAGAGGTGCTTGAGTCATGGGGACGGATCCCTCATGAATGACTTGGTGCCCTCCCTGAAGTAATGAGTGAGTTCTCACTCTGTCAGTTCAGGAGAGCTGGTTATTTAAAAGAGCCTGCAGCCACCGCCTCTCTCTACTAGTCCCTGTTAACCGTGTGACACGCCCGCTTCCCCTTCCCCTTCTGCCATGGTAGGAAGCTCCCCGAAGCCCTCACCTGAAGCACGTGCTGGCAACATGCCTCTTGTACAGCCGGTAGGACCACAAATGTAGGCCTAAGGCAGGAAAGGAAGGTCAAGAAAGCGGGAGTGCTGCCATTTTGACTGGCAAGACTCTAACCACCCCAAACAAGGAAGTCACTAGTACAATACAGGCCTGAACCACCCAAGGGTGGATGAATTCCTAAACTGGATGCATCAGGAACTGTGCTTACCTTTCTGTGACAGCAGTTTATGGTTAACCTTTATGGCCTGATCTCAAGACAAGGCTGGTCATATATGGGGTTTATGAACATTTAGAAACATTACAGTTAGGCTGGGCATGTTGGCTCACACCTGTAATCTGCACTCAGGCCAAGGCAACCGGGTCACTTGAGGACAGGAGTTTTAGGACAGCCTCAACAACACCAAGACTCCATCTCTATTTAAAATAGAGAAAGCCAGGAATGGTGGTATACCCCTGTAGTCTCAGTTACTCGGGAGGCTGAGGTAGGAGGATCACTTGATCCCAGGAGTTTGAGGTTGTTATGAGCTAGGTAGACACCACAGCACTCTAGCCTGGGCAACAGGTGAGACTCTGACTAAATAAATAAATAAACCGTTACCATTGCCCCATAAAGTGTCTCACTTCTGCTCAAGAAAGGATCCCTACTTTGTGGAATAAGAGCTGTTGTCTGTCTCTCAATAAACTTTTGTGCTAGTTGGCTTGCTCTCAAATTCTTTCTACCACAAAGCTTAGAACTTGCTTGCTGAGTGCATTGGGACACCCCCTGCATCACTATCAGCCAAATAAACCTCTCTTCTTTATAAACTACCCAGTCTCAGATATTACTTTATATCAACACAAAACAGACTAAGACAGACATGAATACACATTTCTTAAAAGAAGACATATAATAAATGGACAAGAGGTATGTGAAAAATGTTCAACATCACTAATCATCAGGAAAATCCAAATTAAAATCACAATTAGATATCGGTTCACTCTATTTAAAATGGCTTTCACCAAAAAGACAAAAAATAACGAATGTTGGCAAGGTTGTGGAGAAAGGGGAATGCCCATACACTGTCATGAGAATGTAAATTAGTACAGCAATTGTGAAAAACACTATAGAGGTTCCTGAAAAAACTAAAACTAGCACTACCATATGATCCAGCATCTCACTACTAGGTATACATCCAAAAGAAAGGAAATCAGTATATTGAAGATATGGCTTCACTCCCATGTTTAACATAACACTATTCACAATAGACAAGACAGAGAATCAAACTAAGTGCCTGTCAGCAGATGAATGGATAAAGAAAACATGGTACTGTGATAGCATGGAATGTATATTTGGTCTTCGGCTGCGTTTCCTGGCATACAACTCCCCAAATCCTTAGAAACTCCACAGTGATATATTTGTGTATGCCAATCAGTTGGCAGATGGCTGGAAACCCCTTGGTAACTTTGGGATGGGGCTAGTCACTAGAAAGACCAAGGCTCGGTTAGAGTTGGAAATTTCAGTCCCCTCCCAAAACACCCACCCATAATCTCCGCAATCTCCAGGGAGAGAACGGGGGGCTGCAGGTTAACTTGATCACCAATGACCAGTCGTTAATCACTCTTGCCTGTGTAACAAAGCTTCCATAGAACCCCAAAAGGACAGGGTTTAGGGAGTTTCCAGAGAGCTGAACGTGTGGAGGTTCCCAAAGGCTGCTATGCCAGAGAAGGCTGGGAAGCTCCACACCCCTGCCCACATAACTGTCCCTATGCATCTCTTCATGTGTATCCTTTGTAATATCCTTCATACAAAATTGCTAACCCTAAGTTTCACTGAGTTCTGTGAGCACTCTGACAAATTAATCAAACTTAAAGAGGGAGTTATGCAAACCCCAACTTGAAGCCAGTCAGTCAGAATTTCCAGAGCCCCAGACTTGTAACTGATGGGGCGAGGGGCCCAGTCTTGGGCCCTGAGCCCTCAACCTGTGGGATCTGACACTGTCTCCAAGTAAATAGCGTCAGAACGAAATTACAGGACACCCAGTTGGTATCTGCTGCAGAATTGCTTGCTTGCTGCTGTGTGGGAAAAGAAACACACATATTCAGTCACAGAAGTATTCTGTGTTAGTGGTTGTTGTTGAGGGAGAGAATAGAAAAAACACTTTGAGGGTTTCTTCCTCACTAAGAAAAGGAACATATGCATAAGGGAATATTATTCAGCCATTGAAAAGAAAGAAAGTTTGTCATTTGTAGCAGCAAAGATGGTGCTAGAAGACATTATACTATGTGCAATAAGCAAGGCACAGAAAGACAAAGACCACTGGAACCTCAGTGCTACGTGGGAGCTAAGGAAGCATATCTCGTGCAGGTAGAGAGTTGATTGGTAGTTACGAGGGGCCAAGAAAAGTTGTGGGGAGGGAAAGATGAACATTTGGGCAGATTTGGCTCCCTGGCTATAGTTTACTGACCCCTGGCTTTGGGGCCAGGGACAAAGCATGGGATAAATTGGGAGAATGGGTTATGACCTAGACCTGTCCCCTTGGTCAAACCTTCATCTCTATTTGCATTGAGACCTTCATGCAATAATCTTGTGACTGTCCTCAGATTGCCCAACCAAACATATCTCATTTGTTGCCAAGCATGAACCCTGTCTGCATTCAAAGTCCTCTGCAAGACCTCACCCTCAGATCTCCTAATATGTCCCTGCTACTCCAAGCCCAGCATTCTCTTCCTGGCACCTTTCTTCAGGCAGTCCTCCAGGTGGCAGTTGGCTCGTGCAAGGAATGACAGAGCCTAGAAGAATAGTGTCCACCCATGAAGAAAGAGGGCAATGCAAAAGAATTAAATCCACCAACCTGAGGCAGGTCCCTCCTGTTTTTGCAGTTGATGCCTCCAATGAAGACCATGTTGGGCATGACTGGCCTGGGGTAATCAAACACAAAGTCGTATCTTAACAGCCAGATAGAGCCCTTCTGATATAAGGCGGGTAAGTGCACATCTCTCTTGAGGACGTCTGATGCGAGCTCTTCATACTTTGAATACAGACAATAAAATAGAGCAGGCTCCAACAAATGAACAAGGAAGTTGATCATCCGTTGGGGAAAAGTCATCTGGTCGGAAAAGCTTGTGTAGCACCTGGGTATATAGGACACAGGGCTTGGAGTTCTACTGAACACGTGCTCCAGGGAACATGGGAAGCCCCTGAAGAAGTACACGGAGGGTAGGCCCAGGTACTCGGCCAGGATCACGCCACAGGGTAAGGCCGGGTCTGTGAAAAGAACATCGAACTTGCTCTCCTTGAGGAAGTTCAGGGTGGCATGGTCCTTCAGGAGGCTCTGGCAGTTGATGAACCACATGTCAATGACAAACATGACATTCCTGTACTCCACCAGAGGAGTCATCAAGTATGATCTCTCAGCAAACATACTGTTTCCGAAGGAACGAAAACGGTTCTTGAGCTCCTCTTCATCGTAAGGCACTGGATAGAGTCTCCTCAAATAGTATTTGGATTCTTTAAAAAGCAAATTGACTTCTGGTGCCAAGACCACAATCTCATGCCCCCTGGCACTGAGACTCTCAGCTACATCCTTTACACTAAGCCAGTGGCTTCCGTCCAGAGGGACCATCAGCACTTTGTCACCTACAACCATTCCCCAAAGTGCTAAGAAGAAAACTCCCACAGCAACTCTCTGAAATGCAGGATGAAGTTGAAGAGAGGCCATTCTGGAAGGAGGCAAGGTGAAAACAGTACTGTCTACCCACCAAGAAGCTAGTAGTGCTCTTCATAGATCTCACCCTGGCTCTGAATCTTACCCTTTATTATGAAAAAGCCTAAATTAATATTTAACCAGCTTTAAGCACACAGCTAACCTAGAACAACCCTGTGCCTTATAAAGTTTTTGACCTGGTAGATTTTTCTCTTCATCTCCAACAGTCTGTCTCTCACACTCCAAAGAGTCACAGCAACACTTTGAGGACAACTTAGAGAGCCCCCTGAGGACTTGCTGTCAGTCCTCTACTGTGAACTTTCTGGATTCCTCATAATGGGTGATATCCATGATGTGTGGGGATTTTCTTCCACATTGACCCATTCCTTAACACCAGCTGGCTGTCCTACAAATCAGTTCAGTCTGTCAGTAACCAGAGTTAGGCCAGACCCCGCGGGTTCAGGGCTCAGTCCCACCCAAGACTGCTCCCACATCAGACACCAATCCCAAGTAGCAGGTCCCGAGGTTACACCCACTTCTGTCTCACTGGGCTGCAAATCAAAGGTTCCCACATCTCCCTCTAGGGTTTGAGCCGTAGCTGGAATGGCTCACGGAACCAAAGAAAACAGTTTATTTGCTAGGTGACTGGTTTATGACAAAGGCTATTACAGAGGATACAGATGAGCAGCCAGAGGGAGAAGCACGGATGGCAAGATATGGGGACACGAGGACAGAGCTCCCATGCCCTCTCCTGGACACCACTCTCCATGCCTTCAGCAACCTGGAAACTCTACAAAGTCCATGGAAAGGAAAACGAACATCTCAGGACCACCCCCACAACTCCTCATGCAAAAGGGAAGGTCAAGCCTGGAGGCTGAGTCATGCAAGGAGACCCCCTCTGAATGAATAGCTGTCACCAACACTAAGCGTCAGCCAGATCCCATAGCAAGGGACAAGGACTCAGGCACTCGCAGAGAACTGCTTCCACAGGTGATTCAGAAGGAAATTCCTTGTTGGCCTCCCATAAACAAGGACATGCCAATCACAGCTTCAGTTCTGCAGTCTAACTCTAGGGCCTAAAACTAAAGCTTCTTCAATCCCACACTGCTAGTGCTGATAGGAAGCTTATCTTCCCAGGTGCAGAAGAGAGACAAGGTATGATCGAGTGCTCTTGCACCTACCCAGGAATATCTGCATAATAGACTGACTCTTCCTGTACTCCCTTTTCCTCTTTGAATATTCACCTTGTTTTTTATAAAATGTAAATGTCCTGGGCCTCACAAGAACGTAGCCATTTGCCTCACTGTCCCTCTTTCCCAGAAAGAGGAATACTTTCTGTATTCCTCTCCCCTGAAATACTGAGTGCCCAAATCCCTCTTGGAAACATGACAGTCACAAATGCATCGGCAGCTTCTGTTTTTCCTGGGCGCATCCTCAGAGTTCGGCTTAATAAACCTCCATTGATTGAGATCTTTGCCTCTGTCAGTTATTTTAGGTTGTCACGTGTCACTTTGGGTTTTTATGTAGGCTTTGTTACATCGTAGGCATGATTTGTTAGTGATCACATCAACTTTCAGTCCCTCTGTCCTCCCCTGTCTCTAATCACAAGGTTGGTTGTCCTGGCCTCCAGCCCCATCCTTAGGCGCTTTTCGCCTCCTTACACGAACTCAGGTGAAATGGCTGTATCACACCTGAGTTCCATAACAAAAGATGCTCTGTTCACCTTTATCACTCTGCTCACTTAGGAAATTACAAAGAGTTTAGGAACTCTGGCCAGAAAATGGGAACACAAACTGACATATGTTTCTTATTGCGTATTACAATATCAAAACATGTAATCTGCTATTTGCCTTTAGGAACGTATGATTGAGAAGTGTAAGTCCAGCCACCACGTGGTGAGAGCCCCAGAGCAGGAGCCCGAAAGGCCACTAGCCACTGCTTCAGATAGTGGCCACCCATCAGCCAGGGGAGTGGCCCGTCACCTAAGCTTCAGGTTTCTCAACTGAGACCCAGGGACGGAGGGTCACGTTGGTCCTGCCTACTCAATCACACTGTTGAGAGATGGCACAGAGGATTATGGAAGTGGAAACTAGGCTGTCCTTAAAAGAAGTGGCTCCTTGAATTACTGGAACAGACTTGCCCAGAGCTAGTCACGCACACCTGGACTGGCACAGGAGGCCCTGTCCTATGGCACACCTTTGGCACTGGAGACATGCTGGGGCCTGGGAAAGGACAAGCAGCCTGAGAAACAGGATTAATGGGGCCACCCCAACCCCAAGCAGGGCTGGCCCCAGGAACACAGCCAGGGTGCAAATTCATTGTTCAAGGCACGCAAAGACTTGGCTCAGGTCCAAGCTGGCAGCAGCGTCCAGGGACTCCTCCCCAAGGAGATTGCCAATAGGGTTTCCCAGTTACAATGATCAGAGTCAGGAACGTGGCAGCATAGTGCCTCTTGTCTATCTAGATAGCAATAAGACCCCAGGAACGTTACAAAGGGGGCACAGTGCAGGTCCACCTCTCTGGAGCAGGTGGGTGCTAGGCAGAATCCCTTCCAAGGACCGGCCATCTGGAGGGAGAATTGCAGACTCAAGCATTCAGAAGTAGGGGGAGGAAGAGGTGCTGGACCTCCACTCTGCTGAGGACCTTGGTCTGGGCCCTTCTAAACAGAGTCTTGCTCTGAAAATCATATGGCTCATGTGTGGCTGCTATTCTTATTCCCTGAAGGCCACAGGGACGCAGGTTGGAGGCAGGAGATGAAGGAAAGGACTAAAGGCTCCATACATACCATCACCAGAATGATGCCTTGCAAGTTAAGGTGTTAGAAAACATATCTCTTTTTCTTTATGACGTTCAACTGCACTATATTAAGAATGAAATGTGTGTGTGTGTGTGTGTGTGTGTGTGTGTGTGTGTGTGTGTTTTCCTGGACACTAGGAGGAGGGATCTAGCCTATCTGTTAGTGACAGTGAATGACCTAAAGAAGAGCTGCCTGGTGGCCCAGGCCTCAGTGATGCTGGGGGACTCAAGGTGTTCGGACATCACCATTTACCTGACAGCCCAGTCAGAGGCCAGCTTTGTCTCAGGGGTTACTGTAGATAGAATGACTGAGGCGTGGGACACACTGCAGACGGGTGGAGGAGGTAGCTCCTAGGACAAAACCAATCTCTGCACAAGGAGCAGATATCCCAAAAAAGGAATGGAGGACGCTTGGCACTTTGAGTAGAGGGAGACCTACAGGTGTGCATGGGGTGACTTCATGTTAGGGCAGGTGACGTTGGGAAAGGCTGATCCTATGGAGGGTTAACCTCTTGGGTGCTCCCTCTCCCACACCCTTGCCCTACCCACAACCCACAGGCAATAGAGCCAGGACCTGCCTACAAAGTCTTCAAGATTTTAAAAATTTACTGAATCCAGAATACTAAAATGTATAAATATTCTATTAAATAGCTATCAAAATCTAACTACATACCAGTGAATCCATAACAGTTCAGCTCATTAGGTTCTATAGACAGTGTATGTGGTGTGGATACTGGGGCAGTGTAATCCACCCGACAGGTGGGGTGGGGGCTGCAGAAGTCAGAGTGCTCTGGGCCCAGACCCCAAATCACCCACAGATGGGACAGGGCAGTGTGGCTTGCCCAGCCAGACATGTCAAGAGGGCTAAGGCTTCCCAAAGGGGCTGTATTAGTTTGGGGGTTGGTCCCAGGAACACAGGAGCAGTCGGGCGGGGCACAGGCCATTAAATAAGCCATGACAAACGGACTACACAGAGAAGACATAAACTCAGACTTCACTTGCCCGTCTCTACTACAGTAAAGAGACACAGGAATGATGGGAGATAATGTGCCACAGTTCCAAACATTAAAGGACTCATGTCCTTTGGCTTCGTGCCGAACCTGCCATCTCCTCTGCTGGGCACACTGCTCCCCAACTGCTCCAGCCTTGCTCCTCCCATCCTGCCAGGCCCCAACCATCACGTCTCTTTGCGCCCTTTAGTGTTCTTTCAAAGATTTTTACAGCTTATAACTGATCATATTCCACTCTATTACACAGGCCAAGCCACGTTCATTTGACTAGGGCCGTGTTCCCAGCACTTGGCCCAGCACACAGACAGTCTCCATGGACATTTGTTCAATGAAGGATCTTTAATATCAAATAATAGGAAACAGCCAGCTGCATGGTACTCTGTAGCCAAAGCCACCAAAACCAACTCATGTCTGCTACATACAGGCTGAGAGACCATGTGATGTAAGTCGAAGCCCCCTGGGCACATTGCACTGAGTATGACATCGCAAATCGGCTACAGGCAGGACATTTCCCAAGAAGGTTCTTGTCTTCACAGGCAGGCAGTCAAGTCTAGCAGTTGTTGGGCACACAAGCTCTAAAATCAAAGTGTCAGGGTTCATTGTGTACAGAGGTTCACAGCAGCATGATTTTTTCATCGCGGAAACATGGGAACAACAGAATGTCCAATGAATGGATAAATGATTGTGGTGTATCCGTACAATGGAGTAGAAGTCAGCTATGAAAAGGAATGAAATACTGATTCATGCTACAAACGAAACGTGACACTAAGTGAAAGAAGCCAGTCACAAAGGACCATAAAGGATTCCACTTCTATGAAATGCCCAGAATAAGCACATCCATAAAGACAGAAAGTAAATTTGTGCCCAGGGCTAGGAGAATGGGGACAAAGGGGGAGTGGCTGCCAGTGGGCATGGGGCTTCTGTCTGGGGTGAGGAAAATGATCTAGAATTATAGTGGTGATGGTTGCTCATTTCTCTGATTATTCTAAAGACCCCTGAACTCTACATTTTAAAATGTAAATTTTATAGTATTGAATTACATCTCCATATTTAAAAAAGAATGTCTTGGTTTGAATCTGGCCTCCCCCTTTCCTAGAGCCATGACCTTGGGTAGTCATTCAACCTCTCTGTGCCTCATTTTCACCATCTGCAAAGTAGGCCCATAGATCATACAGAGGTCTGTGTAAGGGCAGCAACTGTCACAGTGGTAAGCAGCCAGTATCTGTTGGCTTCCATTAAATTTAATGTGTGAACTCTCCCTAAGGGGACGGTCCACCCATCTGAAGATTAATTCATGGGAGGTTGCTTCAGGAATAGAATGTTGACATCTGGTCATGTTTTTTTGAAGCGAGCCTGAATGTATGGTTAATATTACTAACTTTGTAGAAATTGGAAATGATTGCGCTAGAAAATACATATCACCACCCAATCACAGCTATTGCTGACTCACGGCCACACGTCAGGCATCTGCACGCACTCTCGTATTTCATCCTGCAGCCTTATATTTGAACTGCTCTGAGTGGTGGGATATTTTCTCCCCATGGCATCTATTTAGAATCTCATGTTCTTACGCAAGGTAATTTGAGTGCATTGAACCACCTCCTAAAGTACTCAAGTGTTGGAACCATGACTCCAGGTACAAGTTCCTATCTTGTTAAATAATTACCGAAACCTTCCCAGTATCAGTCAGGCAGTGAGATGCAGTTTCCCCTTTCACCTCTCTGGGGCAGGGTTCATGCTGAGGAAGTAACACAAAGGAAAGACAAGAGTGGGGAAGGAGCTAGAAAAAGGAATGGAGTGGGGAGGAAAAATAGCATGGGAGCTGGTTAGATAAGAGCTGGACAGATGCATAAAATAAGGCCAGTAACCCCAGGCAAGACAGGATCATGGGGAACCTTGATGGCTGTTTGGGGGGTGGCAGGCCACAGAGCACCCCCTAAACATCTGGAGTGGGCCAAAGAGCATTATGCAAGGAATGTACAGCAAGTTATAGTTTCCAAAAGGCTTTGCACATGTTTTTTCAAGAAATGTATGAGTATTTGTTTTATACTTGGGCTAATAGTTAGCTATATAACATGCTTACTAGTTTGATAGGAGAAATAGAATTTCATCATTTATTAATCTGAATTTCTTGGCTTATTTCTGAAGTTAAAAGTGCTTTTAAAGTTTTATTGGCTTTGTTTTGTATTTACTTTATGTATTGCCCGATTGTGTTATTTACCTAATGAGGAGTGTATTTTTTAAGCTATAACTCGGGGCTTTGTTTCTTAATGATCTGTGATGTATCTTCTTTTTTTAATAATTTATGGAAGTGAAGTCACATGTCATAAATTAACCATTTTAAAATGAACAATTCCATAACATTCAGCAACTTCACAATGTTTCCAAACCACCACCTCTGTCTGGTCCCAAATATTTCTGTCACTCCAAAGTGCACATTCTTTTCATAGTGTTCAAATGATCTGATTATTTGACAAAATAACCTTGATTCTGATCCCTTTAATTTAATTCCTAATAATTATGAGTTGATAATTACATATCATAATACAGAATGCTTTATATTGTGAAATCTTGCGAATATAACTGAGATATGAATAAGTTCAAACACCAGATACAGGTTCACAGTGCTCAAAAAGAACATTCGCTACCATCTGGTTTTTCCATATAACTAAATACAACTCTTTCTGCAAAACTAGGATGTTTACTATCAACATACCAAAAACAATAGTTTTTCTTCTTATGTCAAAGGTTTCTTTGTAATAAGAATAGCTTTAAATAAATAATAAATTATTAAATTAATAAATAACTTTTGCTTATTAACTTTTCAGTTAAATTTTTCTGAAATTAAAATGGAAATTTAAATTTTTCTTGACACAAATGAAAATGGAAACAACATACCAAAATCTGTGAGATAGATTATCCCCTTCAGAGGGCTCCCCTGGTAGTTTCTGCCTAAGTTGGCCCTCAGAAAGTCCCCCTGGCTACCCAGCTGGTGGTCCCTCCTAACAATGGAGGAAGGAGGCTGGGCCATGAGGCAACCCCAGATGTTCTGAAGCAGCACTAAGAAGGAAGTTTATAATAATAAATGCCTACATCAAAAAACTAGAAAAATTTCAAATAAGTGACCTAACAATGTACCTAAAGGAACTAGAAAAGCAAGAACAAGCCAAACCCAAAATTAGTGGAAGAAAAGAAACAATAAAGATCAGAGCAAAACAAATTAAGTTGAGACAAAATAAACAATACAAAAAAGTTTTTTAAAAAGATAAACAAAATTGACAAACCTTTAGCTAGAGTAACCAACAAAGAAAAAGATCCAAATAAATAAAATCAGAAATGAAAGAGGAAACATTACCAACTGATGCCACAGAAATACAAAAGATCATTAGAGATTATGAACTATAGAGAACATTAGAGATTATTAACTATACCTCCAACAAATTGGAAAACCTAGAAGAAATGGATAAATTCCTTGATACTTACAAACTACCAAGATTGAGCCATGAAGAAATAGACAACCTAAACAGACCAATAACAAATAATGAGATCAATACAGTAATAAAATGTTTCCCATCAAGCTAAAGCCTATGACCTGATGACTTCACTGCTGAATTCTACCAAACATTAAAGAAAAAAACCTAATTCTTCCAAAATCATCCTATGAAGCCAGCATTACCCTGATACCAAACCCAGCAAGGACACAACCAAAAAAAGAAATGTTGACTGTAGATCAACATCATTGATGAACATAGATGCAAAACTCCTCAACAAAATACCAGCAAATCAAACCTAAAAACACATTGAAAAGATCATTCACCACAATCAAGTAGGATTTCTCACAGGGATGCAAGGATGGTTCAACACACATGAATAAACTTCATACATCATACTGACAGAATCAAGGAGGAAAATCCTATGATCATTTCACAGATACTGAAAGAGGAATTCAACAAAGTTCAACATGCTTTTCTGATAAAACTATCAACAAAATGGCTATAAAAGGAACATACCTCAATAGAGGCCATATATGACAAATCTACAACTAACATCATACTGAATTGGGTAAAATTGAAAGCCATTCCTCTAAGCTCTGCAAAATACAAAGATGCCTTCTTTCATCACTTTTGTTCAATATAGTAAGTCCTAGCCAGACAATTAGGCCACAGAAGGAAATAAAGGACATCCAGATTGGAAAGGAATAATTCAAACAGCCTTGTCTGCAGACAACATGATCATATACTTAGAATAACCTAAAGACACCACCAAAAAAACTGTTACAACTGACAAATGAATTCAGGAAAGTTGCAGAATATGAAATCAACATATGAAAATCAGTAGCATTTATATATGTCAACAGCTAACAAACTAAAAAGAAAATCAGGAAAACAATTCCATTTATAAAAGCTACAAAAAATATAAAGTATAAAAGAATAAATTTAATCAGAGAAGTGAAAGGCCTCTACATGGAAAACTGTACAACACTGACTAACAAAATTGAAGAGTGTGCAAAAAAAATGGAAAAATAACTCTTGCTCATGGATTGGAAGAATTAATGCTATTAAACTGTCAATGCTACTCAAAGAGATGTACAGGTCCAATACAATCTCTATCAAAATACCAGTGGCATTCTTCATAGACATAGAAAAAAAACCCTACAATTTGAATGAAACCACAAAAGATCCAAAGTAACCAA